GTCCGCCCGTGAACTGAGCGGTGGGAGCGTCCTCGCCCCAGCGGCCCGCGGGGTTGGGCTGAGTGGACCCTCGTGGCCGGTCCGGACGCCGCGGGTGCCGGAGCGCGGACGTCCTGGGTCCGGGCTGAGCGCGTCCCGGGCGCCCAGCGGTGCCAGCTCACTCCGGGCAGGGCAGGGCAGACCCCGGCGGAGCACGCAGCCGACGGATCTGGACTGGACAGAGCGAACTCCGGACGGTGCCGAGCCCGGGGGATGCCGGGCGTGGGCTGAGGGGATCCCGGCGCCCTCCAATCCCTTCGACTTTGGCTCATGCGCTGGGACCGGCCCGGCGTTGCCTTGGTCGCCCTGCGCCCGGGTCACCTGTGGCCTTGGAGCCCCGGGCCCACCGGACCCTCGCTCATTCCCCACCAGGAGCCCGGCGGAGGTTAGGGGAGATTTTTCCTGCCCTCTTCCTTGGAGCGCGGAAGCCCCGCCACCTCCCACCGCCCAGATGTCTCCCGTGGCGGCTCTGAGGACCTCCCTGAGGCCAGGGGCCAAAGGGTCCAGAGAGAGAAGCCCGCCCTAGGGAGCCTTGGGGGCCCCCCAACCTCGTCTTGGGGCTTGGCCCCCGACCCTGCTTGGAAGGAAGGCCGGTGCCCCCACCCTCGCTCGGTGAGTCCGGGAGCCGAGCGGGGGAGCAGAGCGGGGGTTCTGGGGGAAGGCGGGGTTGGGGAAGGGAGGGTCCGCTGGGAACGAGGGCACCCTGGGGGCACTAGGAGGGAGGACAGATGACTGGAGAGGCCCTCTGGTAAACTAGCGGGCCAGGCCTGGTTGGGGACTGGGGGTTGGGAGAAGCTGGGGCAGAGTGCCCCATCGCAGGCTGAGGACTTCTGCCTCTAAAGCAGGGGCTCCCTCTGTTCCTTCTAGAGGAGGGGCTGTGCTGTAGACCATCTGCCTCCACCACCCCTCCCCACAAATTAAAAAATAAATCCCCAGCGATGAAGGGTGCAGACTGGGGAAAGGAGGGAGGCAGCAGCATTGCCGGCTGGTGCTGCAGCCTGGGAGGGCTGACGCCAGGCTCGCTCTCTCTGCAGGGGGCTGCCCTCCTCCAATCCAGCTCAGCTTCCCAGAGCTGCCCACATCTGGAGCCCCCTCCACTTCTGGAAGACCCCAGCCACCATCCCTCTGCAGGTGTCAGTTTTATCCAGAGATCTCTGCCTTTGCCACTGCCTAGGAGCTGTGAGGGGATTACAGCCGTCTTCCCCCCATCCCAAGGGCATCTCTTACCCTTAGTCCCTGCAGAGTCATCCCCCTGCCTCTGTGTTCAGACTCAGCCAGAGATCAGCTCAGCACACCCACAGGCACTTCCAGTCCTGGAGGCCACTCCTGAGACCCAAGGCCCCTCCCCCTGCCCTCCTGTGTCCTCACCTTGACCCCCTCTGACAGATTCTATCTCCCTCTGGGTGTCCCATTCCCCACCCAGAGGCAGAGGAGGCGGGGTGGCAGGGTGCAGGGGCTGGGTGAGGGCCACCCAGGGCCAGGGTAGGCTGGGGGGCCGTTAAGATGAGGAGCTCTGCCTGGCCGTGGGGGGCTCCGTGGAGGCAGACGCACTGTGTGCCCGGCTGGGGGGAGTATGGGCAGGCCTGCAGCCACGTGGTGAAGGATGAACATTCGGGGCACCCCGGACCTCGGGCAGCCCAGTGATGACCCCAGCAGTGGTGGCGAGCGGGAGCGAATTCGACAGCGCATGAAGATGGTCATCGGGCAGCTCGAGGGCATCCTGCGGGAGCTCAAGGAGGTGGCCAAGGAGCTAAAGGAGGTGAGTGAGGCGCCAGACAGATCCTTAACCAGTTTTCCTAGGTTTGGCACAAAAACGTACACACACATATGTGTTTAAGTGTGTGTGTGCACACAAAGCTGTGTGCACGTGTGTCACTCTGCTGGGGACCTCCTTCTCCTGCTTCTCCTTTCTCCAAATCGGCTTTGCTAAAAATCTCACCATACCCCAGGGCTGGTGGGGCCTCGGTGTTGCAGAGACTGCTTGGGCAGCATATTGTGGGCCATGGCTCTGTAGTTAGCACTCAGGGCTGCCGAGGTGGCCACTAAGGACTGAATCCCACCACAGCCACTTAGTGGGAGACAGTCTTCTGGAGCCCAAGCTGATCTTTGACCCCACCATCTGCCTCCCAGACTCGGACCTGGTCACAAAGGACCCTGGGAGAGTGTGGATGGCTCTACTGAGGCCGTCCCCACTGCTTGAGGCCCAGGTCAGAGATCCCCAGAGATTCCCCAGAGATCACACAGAAACTCAGAACGCTTGAGCCCAGAAAAATTAAAGCCAGCTGTGCCCTCCCTGCCCTGAGGTGGGAATGGGTCTGGGGCCTGCTAGTGGGTGTCAGAGTTCCTCTGTACATTGGCAGGGGCAGGAATCTCCTCTAAACGGATGCCTCCCTGTCCCACAGTTCTGAATGTTTTTTGCCAAGGCTGGAAAGTCCTGGGATGTGTGTCCCTCTCTGTCTCTCTAAGTGGAGCCCGGTTTAATTACTGCTTCCCACATCTCCGGGGTAATGAGGTACACATGTCCTCAGCCCTGCCCCCTGGGCTGTGTTCGAGCCCAAAATGCATGACCAGCGTTCTGAGCCACTGGCCTGAATTTGCCCGCTGGGTGCCATTACACCAGCCAGGTGGGCTTTAGGCAAATTTCAACTCCTTGTAACCAGAGCCCCTGCAGAGACGGGTAGGAGAGTGATTGAACTGGAGTTATGAGCTTACGCTCTCCCCAGCCAGCTGTGCGGGGCGGATGGGGCTCTAGGTGGATGGAGAGGGGTAATGGTGGGTACCAGCTCCAGACTGGTGAAGTAGCCTTCTAGCCTGGCCTGAGAGCCAAGGAGCAGGGCATGTTGGAAAGGAGCTTTGTCCAGAGTGGAGGGGGTTGAGATTCTGGGACAGGAGCTGAGGTTGGGCAGGCAGCCCCTCTGCCCTGAGTCAGCCTCATGGAGCCTGCCAGGACGTCCTTTCTCAGGAGGCAGAAATAGTTGTTTCTTCAGGTAGAGAGAGGTGGTGCTTCTGCTCGTGGACTGGGCTGGTCAGGGTCTGGGCTGAACGTCTCTGGGGAATACAGTTTGGAGGTCAAAGGCCAGATGCCCCTGAACAACCCCTCCTCCCCCAACCTCATTGGTCCAAAGGACTACTATCCCCACTTCATCCCTCCCCCTCCCCCATCTTATTTCAGCTGCTCTGTGGTTCCATTGGGCCAAGGGAACTGTCCACACCCTCAGTCTTGGGCATGGCATGGGACCTATGCCCAGCAGGCCTGCCCAGAAAAAGCCAGGATTGACTCTAAAGCTGGGAGTCAGCTTTCACACAGCACAGGGCCTACTCCCAACTGAGCATCTTCCAGGCATCTGCCTCCCTTCCCCTCCCCCAGCATAGCCCTCCAGAGCTTGAAGGCATCTCACACATCATCCAGACCAGCCCTGTCCATTTACTGTTGGGGAAACTGAGGCCCAAAGAGGGATAGGGGCTTGTTCAAAGTCACACAGCCTACCAGTGGCAGAACTAAGCCTAGAACTCCGGTTTTTGATGCCTATTCTGAGGCTTGAGCAGGTGGGCTAACAGGTGACCTTTCTGCATTTTGACAGGGGCTTTCTAGAGATGATATCTTGTGTTCATGCTGTGATGTTCTGAGGGGGTGCCCTTTAGGGGATAAGGTGGGGAGATCAGAAGCACTAGGACTCATTTGCAGATCTTTTAGATGTTCCCTCTCTCCCTTCTCACCACACACCCCGCCCCCCCACTCCTATGTCTTGAACAGCAGAGCTTCAGGTTCACAGGCTGTGCAGCCCAGAGGCCTAAGCCAGGACAGAGAAAGATAAGTCCCCTCCCCCCACACACCCTGTAGGCCATGTGCCTCCACCCAAGACTTTGGCAGGTTGCTACGGCAACCAGAGTCTACCCCGTATGCCACCGCCTGCCCGCTGCCAATGGCACCCAGCTGGGAGGAGGGGCCTCAGAGCTCCGCCATCCCCCAGGCAGGGTCTGGACATGGGCTGATGGGCAGAGAGGAGTGTTGGGGAAGGCAGGTGAGGCTCTGGGAGGCCCAGGCAGAAGAGGAGATGCCGTAACTGATTTCCTGTGGGATGGGATTTGTCAGGAATGGAGTTACCATTTAGGGGTACCAGGCCCTGGTTTGGGTAAAGGGTTGCAGCCCCCTTGCTCCCTGGAACCTGTGATCTTGCCTCTTAGTCCTCCAAGAGGGCTGTAAAGCTGGATCTACCTGGCTCTCCTTCTCAGCCACTTCATGTGGCATTTTTCCATCGGGGGCATGGGTAGACCCAAGGTCGAGAGGGTGGCACACACTTGTTACCTCATCATCCCCCGCTCCCCAGACAGCACCAGCTCAGGGCTCACCACCTGGGTTCTCCATCTCAGGAGGGCAAAGCACTTAGATGTGAAGACAAGGCATGCGAGACTGCCGGGGAACAGCACAGGATGCTTGAGGAAGGAACAAGGCCAGCAGAGAGGAAGGGCTTAGCTGTATCCCCCTCTGCCGTCCTCCTCCATCTGCTGCTCCCTTCCCCAGCCCCAGACCACTGCTTATGGCAGACCCTCCTCATCCTCTGGAGCACACAGCCTGAAATTCACAGAAAGTTGAGAGACACTATAGCACTTCCTCCCAGGCCCCTGAGCCTCAGTCTGTTCATCTCTGAAATGGGGATGGTGATCATTTGCACCTCAGAGTGATCTTACAAGGATTTATCGTGGGCTTTGCATGCAGTAGGGGGGCCAAAACCTCTTGCACCCCTAAAGGATTTGGAGCCCCCTCTCCCGTACCTCCCCCACCCTCCCAAACCCCTGCTGCAGCTCTGTCACCGGCTCCCCAGGTGATAAGGAGCACGTTCTGTCCCCTGGGTGGGGAAAGTAGTTTAATGGACTAAGTGAAATGAAGATGTAAAAGTGCTTTGAAAGCTCAAATTGTGCTGCAGAGGGATACCAGCAATTAGCCCTCATCTCTCCTAGGTTCCCCAGTACTCTAGGGTGCCAGCCCAATCCCAGCAGGCTCTCTAAGCTCCTCAAAAGTTTGTGGATCTTAATTTAGAGATGCAGCACAGCCCAGGGGCTAAGAGCATGGGTTCTGCAGCTGGATGTCTCTGGTTCAAATCCAAGCTCCACTCCCTTCTTAGCTGTGTGAACTTGGGAAAGTTACTTTACCTTTCTGTGCTTCTGTTTTCCCATCTGTAAAATGAAGATCCTGAATTTTATGCCTTCCCCCCGCCCCGAGCCCCAGGGTTGTAAGAATTAAATGCGATAGTATATATAAAGTACTTAGCACAGTGATGGGCACAAAACTAGCTCTATATCTGTTAGAGATTACTAATGAACTATCCTAGCACTGGCATGCTCCTCACTCCATGTGTGGTCTTGTTCATTTGGAGTCACGTCAGCTCCGTAGCCATACTCAGGGAGGTCAGAGCCAGGACCAACACCCTTTCGTTTCTCCTGCAGCAGGCAGTCCCACCCTCTGCCAGCCAGGAAAGGGGATAGAGAGTGACAGTGATGGGGCTGGGAAGGCGGTCTCCAATAAGATGGATTTTGAACAGAGACCCAAAGGAAGTGAGGGTAGAAGTCAAATGGATATCTAGGAGAAGAGCCTTCTAGGCAGTGGGGGCAGCCAGTGCCAAGGTCCTGAGGAGGAAGTATGCTCGGCATGTTCAGGATCAGTGAGGAAGCCGGTACAGCTGGACTGGAGTGAACCAGGAGGAGAAAAGCAGGAAGAAAGGTCGGAGAGGGAGGAGGGAGTCAGAGTACATAGAGCCTTGCAGCCAGGGTATGGAATCTGGATTTGTCCTCAGTGAGAACTCCACACGCCCTCTAGGAATCTCCTGGTTGTGTGAGAGGGTGGGAATCTGCCTCCCCCCTGCTCTCCCTGTTCCCCACCAACCGGGACCCCCAAGGGCAGGCATAAGGGCCCTCGTCCTTGGCCCCCCCAGATGCTGAGCTCACCTTGAGCAGGTACTTGACTTCCCCCTCCCCCTTGGTTATCACCTCCCCAAGATGTGGCTCAGCGTGGGAGCTCAAAACTGATCCTTGCGTTCACCACTGGTGTCCCCAGGTCATCACTGACTCTTGGGTAGGACAGAACTTAAGGGCACAGTCACCCACCTTGGCCTGTACACCTCAGGAGGATGGAGGGGTGGGCACCCTTCTGCAGCCTGGGGTGGTGGTGGAGGATTTTCTTGGGGAGGAGGCCCGGAGGCGATTGTGCAGTCCCGTCAGCAAGGTGCTGCATATGAGGTGGCAAGGAAAGCCACGGGCCATGCAGGCATGAGATAAATGTGGCCCAGCCAGGAAGCAGCTGGAGCAGGAGAGGCTGGGGACCACGGAGCTGTGCCAAAGTGGGTCAGCTCCATCACCCGCAGCTCAGCAAGAATTGTGCGGATTTTTTCTTATTATTTTTTTTTTCTTGCCTTCCTTTCCTCCCTTTTCCCTTTGCGTTTTCCTCCTCCGGACAGATTTACGAAGCTCCTAGCCAATTAGGCCAGATTGCAGGATGAGAGTCATGAGTCATGGTCAACTCACTCCCCCCTCCCCAACTCCACAGCCCCCCAAGAAGACAATAAATAACGTAATCAAAGAATTAAAAAATAATCAGTGGTCATAAATAATGCAGATGCCCCAGTTATGCAACCAGCTGCCCGGGGAGCTGGGAAGGAGGGAGCCGCTTGTCAAGTGAGGTGAAGGGGCCAGAGGTGATGGGCAGGACGGGAGATACAGGTTCTGGGACTCCTGGATCCACAGTCCTGGCTCTGGGGCCTTAGG